TTTTTTTCCAGCATCAATCAATGAAATGCAAAATTTCATCAAATAATGAAATTTGGAGAACATATTTGATGTTATGGAGCATTTAAAAAATTTTGGGCTTGGAATATTATCATTGTCGAATTTCTTTATAAAGATGTTAATAAAAAGGATATTGCAGATTCTTTGTGCACTAAAGATTAGTCCTCTTCGAATACTAATACTTTTATCATCAATCAAAGAAAATTGTTGTAGCTTATTAATAGGTACACATATTATTTTGTCAATTCTACACCGATTCCCATTTTGATTGAACTTGAGATGATTAAGCGGACAAAGAAAAATAATGTAATAGTAAACAATATAAGATAGGTTTTGTATTTTCTAGTATGATTAACATTCTTAATTGATATAGATATTAATTTAAAATAATTCTTTAAAAAATGTGACATCTTGTACTGACGATAGCTATATTAATTTAGGTGATATATTGAAATAGTTCTAATTAGTTAAAAAATATAAGTATTACCAATTGTATGTTCGACTAACTACAAGTAACCTCTAACTAAGAAGAGTAGAAAACAAATCTACGTTCGATGCAAATGTTAATTAGCTTAATTATATTAACAACGATTGTTGATAATTATAAAGATATAGCGTCAATTTTGTGAAACCTAACTTGAAAGGATGTGCATAATCTTTCTAGTATAGAATTAACATCATTGCATCTCCTTCCCCTTATTTTTATTACCTCCATCTTTAACATGTTCAATTAAAAAAAATACAAAATAATGATTAACTAATACTTGACACATAAAATTTAATTTATATTCATATGTTATAATGCAATAGTAGGCAATATATCTTCAAATATTATATCAAATATTTTTACTCAATAAAAGTTTCTTTTGCTAAAATAATCTTTTCATCCGCTTATACTTCATAAAGTAGGTTTAATGAACTATAAATACAATAATAATAAACAAATTGTAAAGCAAAAAAAGCAATTGCAAAAACTTAAAAATTTCTCTAAATGACCAAAATATATCAAAAGAAGTCATAGTTTACCAAAAAAAGACATCTCAAACATGCGTTCCAAGAAAACAATATATATATATGGAGAGAGAGAGTGCACAAGTCCGTTTGTGTATGAAATATTAGTAGAGACCATATGATTTGCATACAAAATTTAAAAATACCAAGTCAATTAATATATAAAGCCTTGAAACCACGTGTGGTTTATCCGCAACAGATCCACCACCATTGTTGTCATCTATTTCCACCTTGATAATCAGTAGCCACATTTGTCGCAAAATAAATATTTAGTAATTTCCTAGCACCAATGCTGCCAATAAAATTCCTTGTGAGAGTACAAAATGAAGTGTTAGAATTAAGTTTAGCTGCAAGCATTTTTGCGAGTAATTAGAAGTTTAATATCAGAAGGGATTATACAAGTTCCGTGAGAAGTGAATTTAGTGAAGGACTATAGAATGGATTTATAATAGAAGTTTGTGCCAGAAAAATTCAAAAACCAACTGTTCACAGAGTCTTCATTCATTGTAAATGAGAGCATGACTTTTATGTGAACATAATTTGAAAATCATGCACCATGTTTTCGCTACCACTTAAGAACTCATCAACTGGATTATATGAAAAAGAGAATAGCTCATCAAAAAATTAAGGACATTTCATTTGGACAGGAGAAAGATTTTGCTTGATCATCGGTCAATAGCACAGACAAAAGGTAGAACCATTTAAATAGATGATAAGACTTTTACAAAGGCAACCGTTGAATTCATNGTTTAGCTGCAAGCATTTTTGCGAGTAATTAGAAGTTTAATATCAGAAGGGATTATACAAGTTCCGTGAGAAGTGAATTTAGTGAAGGACTATAGAAGGGATTTATAATAGAAGTTTGTGCCTGAAAAATTCAAAAACCAACTGTTCACAGAGTCTTCATTCATTATAAATGAGTGTATGACTTTTATGTGAACATAATCTGAAAATCATGCACCATGTTTTCGCTACCACTTAAGAACTCATCAACTGGATTATATGAAAAAGAGAAAAGCTCATCAAAAAATTAAGGACATTTCATTTGGACAGGAGAAAGATTTTGCTTGATCATCGGTCAATAGCACAGACAAAAGGTAGAACCATTTAAATAGATGATAAGACTTTTACAAA